AGAGAGAGAGAGAGAGAGAGAGAGAGAGAGAGAGAGAGAGTATAAAATATAATATATATCTCGTTAATTATAAATTTTTTGATATATCTACCTTAATATACTTAATTTCATCATATTATGTAAATAAATTATACAATTCCATTTTAAGAAATAATCATTATATATTCATGAAAATCTAGATTTTTTTTTAAATTGATTTTACTATTATTTGCGTCTCAAGCCATAACACTTTTCGTCTGAACATATTTTTAATTCGACTTCATCCTGCGAAGAAAAAAGGAATGATAATTTAAAATGGGACATCTTATATAGTAATACTATTACATGTAATATAAAAATTTACATAAGAATATATTGCATAATATTGTTTCAAAAAAATTAATATTTGTTGTAACTCTCAAGTTTGTATTTATGCTATTATGTAAATTTATATATAACATAATCTTAACTGTAGGCAGATATATTCTATTATTTTTATACCATACACTAAATAACAAATTATATTACAATTGCATATTTTACGTTTTTTTATTTTCTTTTATGTGAATGTACATTTCAATTTTAACGTTGCGTATTTTTTTTCCGTGCGTAGCCGCTCTTCTGGGAAAAACAGGAAATACAGGTGAGATACTCATAGGAAGAGAAATTGTTTGGCTGATTCGCATTCTTTATATCGCAACATTACATATCTTCCTTTCGAATTCCTTTTTCGTTTTTCCTTTCTATTACATTTATATATTTTTAATATTGTCTTCTGTATATTGTGATGCAATATTGATAATTATTGTTGGCTGTAGATTTGATTAATGTACGGGTCTCCCCTGCTTCAAACAATATTATATTTTAAATTTTGTACATATCATAATGTTCGTATATGAATCATAAAAGCATCAAAAATTTGTTTAATGTATGAGGAATCTCATATCGATTTATTTATGCCACTAAAACGGATTCAAATAATTGAAAATTATAAACTTTTCATTTGCAAGCAACTAAAATGTTTGCAAATAAAACAAGATGATAAAAATTCTTATTTTAATTATAATATATAATATTAATTATAAATTTCGCTTTAAATTTTAATTCAAATACAAATTACTTTACGACAAATATTTTTAAAAATGATAAGAAAATAGCGTTTAAAGTCACTAAAGAAAATTGTAATGAACGTCAAGTAATTGAATTTTGTAAGCTGAAAAATTGTACAAAAAAAAAACGATAGTTCTGTGACACCCTGTATATATGTATATACATATTTCATCCACGAATATGAATAACTGAGCCAATTAGTAACTGATTGATACTGCATATTGAATTGTTGTAAAAATGTTCACATATTGAATTAATACATTAATTGGCGGAACTTCGTCAGTGCTTTTAGAAACATACAGATTTTTATTCTCTATCAATCGTTAATTGTAGTTTTAACAATATGTATATGATCTGAATTATTGTGTGTGTATATTTGAAATGTATTGGGAATATACGATTCTTGCACAAACGCTTATTGCAATTAATGGGTGCACGATTTTCCATAATAAGATTTTAATCGGTAACAATACCTGTGCATAATGAAAAGGAAGAGCAAGACTTTTTTTTTTATAAAACGCTTATCGCAATTAACTCGGGTATAATAGCGCGTGATTTTATTGTATTATCGTGCATGAAGGTGTATTATACTTGTAAATTATATCTAAATTATTAATATCTCGTTACACATATTTTATCTGAATATCGAAAAAGTATGACATTGCTCTTATACTCTCTAAAATTTAAACTATTATAATATTAATTAAATTCCTGTCAAATAAAATATTTTATGTGTCATACTGAAACGTTTGTAACTTTATTTATTTATGCATTTTTGAAGAATAATCGCAAAAATAGGTTGTTTTTGTCCTCACTATGATGAGATATCAATCACAAAAATTTTAAGTTTAGGCTAAAATTAGTTTAAGAGATATGGGACTGATACAACAATTCGTGCTTTAAAGCATGTAGGCTAACGCTTTAATAAATTTTGAACCCTTATATCTCTTAAATCAATTCTAGTCCTAACTTGAAATTTTCTTGTAATTTTGTTTTATCATAAAATGTTTAACATACTGTTCAGTTCCTAAATAGCGGGACCAAAAAAAGCAAAAATTCATCGATTTTGTGGTCACTATTACTATAAATTTTTTTGTATATTTCCTTTTTTTTTAAAAAAATAATTTTAAAAATATGAATATTTATTCACTATTTAAACAATTTAACTATAATTAAGATTTCAATATATGTATGACAAATTATTATTATAAGTTTTGTTATTATATTAATTTTAAATGTAATTGTTTAGAATTAAAATTTTAAATTTTTTAACTGCAAATTCACACAGTAAAATACTTTTTTAAACTAATTAATAGACAAGGAAAGATTATTATAAAGAATATTTGAATAAGAAATTGATCTTGTCTCTCTTTTAAATAATTTTTTCATACAAGTACGAAATAATATAATATTTGATAGAATTAATATATTATATTGCATAAGTAGATTGCTTTCTGCCTTTAATAATAACAAACTCGGAGCAATTTTTGCGATGTCATAGCACGTGAGAAGTGCCTTAGAAGTAATAGGCCTGGGTATCAAAATTTATATTTGAGAACTGATAAAAAATAATATGTATTCATTTTCAAGGGTCTACCGGGGGCAGTCTTAGTCCTGTAACATCTCTCACGCTTAATTCCTTAACGGGGACGCCATTAAATGGACTTCAGGACTCGTTGAGCAACGCGTATTCCAGCTTACAACAGTATGCAGGTAATTATTTGGTTTGTCAAGCAAACTTTCAATGTATAAAAAAATTGTTAAACGCAATCTACACACTGCCTTTCTGCATTCGCGTGAACACGCAAAGGGTTACTTTCTAATAAGTAAACTGTGCGCATTAAAGCTCTCATTGGAAAGACGACGGTGACCGTGGAAAAGAAAGAATTGCATAGTGAGTAATAAGTAGATTGCCTGAATATATATTTCTGTGAGTTGTCCTAAATTTTAGTATCAAGTAGTTCATATGGTTGACTTTCGAATTGATGTGTTTATGCACGATGATATGAAACTATCCTTTAAATATATTCAAGACAATCTGATTAACGTTACGAAATACGATTATTAAAGTTTGAGAAAATATCAGAGAAAGAGAGAGAGAGAGAGAGAGAGAGAGGGAGGGAGGGAGGGAGGGAGAGAGAAAGAGTGAGAGAGAGAGAAAGAGAGAGATTGAGATAACAATTATTTTTCAAATAAAAAATAGGAGCTTTTTGCGTTTAATATTAATCTTCGCACATTTAACGTCAGCTTGGATTATATAATTTTATATCTTTCCTATGGAACATTATATGTATAAAATCAATACGGATATGTGTGCGAGATTTTAAAACTGACCAATTAATTTGCGATTAAAGCAAATTAGATACTGAAAGTATCGGAATATGAAAGTGAACCAAATGAATGCTTGAAAGAAAAACAACCGATAGGTTTCGCATGTGCCTATTGGAATATCCACATATCCCAGCACACAAGATACACTCGTAAGAATTGAACAAGTGAAAATGTGTGTGTTATAATACTACGGTTGAAAATATTGGAGAGCTTATAAAATTGCATTACATCTATATATACATATGTATGTATATGTATAATATATATATATGTATATATTTCATAAATTATTGAATATTTAATTTCTCATTTTATTTATCGTATAATATATTTATTTACTCATTATATTCAGAGTAGACTGAAATAATCAGATAAATTTAAATCAGAGTCTGTTTGGTGTGTCTCTGTAAGCTGGGACGTTAATGTATACAGTTGTATTGAACCGGAACTGTTCATCATGAAGTGATATAAATCAAGAGTTTTGAGAGATAGTAATAGAATTTAGAAATCTCTGATTACATTTATATATAGAATTATTTAAAAATATATATTGTTTTCAACGAAATTTTCAACGTGTGATCTATATCACTTTGAAAAATATGCGACTAGGATTGTATTCCCCGCGATTAATGATATAGCAAGAGCATCACCAATACATATTCGGATTTCAGGGTTCCCCGCGTTCACGGCGGCTGCAGCTGCCGCGGCGGCGGCAGCGCAGAAGACCAAGTTCAGCAGTACAGACAAGCAAATCGAGGGTCCCGAAGGTTGCAACCTTTTTATATACCATCTGCCGCAAGAATTCAGCGATACAGACCTCATTTCTACCTTTTTGCCCTTCGGCAATGTCATATCCGCCAAAGTTTTCATAGATAAGCACACGCACATGAGTAAATGCTTTGGTAAGTTGAATAACAAAAGAGTGTTTAAATAACATACAGATAAATTTTGTAATGAATACGAGTGATACGACGCAATACAGATGAATAGAATCTATGTATTTTATAATATTTTTTTAGGTTTCGTGTCGTATGACAATGCGTCGAGCGCGCAAGCGGCGATCCAAACGATGCATGGTTTCCAGATTGGCATGAAGCGACTGAAGGTCCAGTTGAAACGGTCCAAGGATGCCTCCAAGCCGTACTAGCTGACGTCACAGAACGTTCGTAGGTAGATACCAAGGACTTCTCGGACACCTTGGCTCGACGACGTCCTTAGTCTGGACGACGCTCGCGCATTTAATTAACAACCGCGATGGTTGATTATTCCGCAGCGGAATCGCGTCTAGCGATAGGTCTAGGTAGACAAGCGAAAGTATTAGGTGGCCGTATTCCACAATACTCTCTAGTCAAGCAGTATTTTCCACGAAGGTAGCGAGTTAACGGGCTACAATCGAGCGTTCTCGGACGCCGAAGAGGAGACGTCGCCGCTCGACACCTTCGCCGTCCTATCGAAACGAGGCTGTGATAATCCAGAAGACTCTCTTGTCTCCATCGGACTGACTTTTCTTCCGAGGTGCAGGAACGTAATTTATTCTTTTAACGTGTCGCTTGTGCGAACTGTCCCGCCGAATTGTCTTCTTTCTTCTACCTGCCGGTCCGCCCATGTGTGAACACTTTCAGTACATTTTTAATCCAACAATCTGTCTATTCCGTTCACATCCGTGCCACGTTGCAATCGTATATCATCTGTTAACTCTTCCAATGCCGAGTTACATATAGATATCCTGCTTTTTTTATAATCCATTTCAATAATTTTTAACAGAGGACGGAATAGGATTAACGAATTAGTATTATATTGAGTAGTTCATTATTATTTCGGACCATTTGTTTTCGTAGCCAATGATGATTGATTTCAGAGACTATGACCGGTATTTCTAGAGGTCATTCAGATTTAGTAAATCCGACGAGATATAATTAATCAAGATTAAAAACATTTTTGCAACCAATTTTTTTATGAATTAAATAAGCTGTTTTTCTATGTTGAAAGTTCTATGTTGCGCCTTTGTGCATTGAATTATAAGAAACGTTGATATATATGTTGAGTATTATTTATATTCTTGTTAAAAAAGGGATTTTGCATGCAAGAAATATGCAAATACTTTATTATGCTTTCATAAAAGTCAAAGAAATTTGCATGTAAAAGCTTCATAATGTGATTGTGATATATCTATTCATTTTGAATCTCTTAATTCAACTTCTGTCGTCACAAAATATATAATTTAGTTTTTAAAATAAATGGCTCTAGACATTTCTCCGTTTATACGAGACGTATAAAAATTTTTCGATCTTAAATTTAATTCGATTTACGGGTTAAAGTTCATGTCGAGTTAAAATCTTGTTCTAGGAATGGCCTTAGTGGCGCGCATTTAGCGTTAAACGTGCTCATTCACTTCTGGATTCGGTTTATTTAGTTACGAAAAACACATAATATAAGCACATAGTGAAAATCGAATAGCAATGTTCATACGCTAAATGCGCAATAATATGGGTCTTTCAAATATTTATCCGTAATATCTGCCTGTACTTATCGCACGATCTCGAAAATATGTTCGTCTCTTCGAATCTCGAAGGTGCAAGCCTGGCGGCACGTTCCTAGATGATGCAATCAAACTACATTTCGTTGCAAAGGCTGCCAGTAAAGCTTTCTGTGCTAACTTACTGTTGCACAAAGTGAAATTACGTACGTGAAGTTCACTAACAACGTAGCTTTTCCCCTAGGAGGGTAAGACTAGTTCGCTTTGAATTTTCACGCAGCGTTCAAGTCCGTACCTCGTAACCATTTGACGATTTGACTTTTCTCTCTGTTTTTTTTCTTTCTGTAATTTTTTGTAATTTATCTCTTTCTATCTTTTAATTTCTCTATCTTGTTCTTTATACCAATAACCACAGTAGTTTGAGCTGGTAATTGAACCAGCAAATACGAGCGATAAACACAATTAAGATCTGTATATTTCACTCATTGTAATTATGTCAGCAGCTATTATACCGCGTGTATCTCCTTCGTTTATTGTTCGAGACGCACAGTATTCGATACGTTCTCACGTGATAATAATATCACTAAGTTTTCTATGGTTAATCACGCTACGATGCTTTATTAGTTAGTAATACTAACATTGCCATGTGATTTTTTGGGGGAGGGGGGAGGGGGGAAGAATATATGCAACCGATCGTCGTAAGTGGTGGACAAGCCAATTGTTTCCATTAAAGTAAGAATATGTTATTTATGTTCAATATAAACATTCTACATTTTCATTTATCATGATTTGAATTTAGTACAATCGATAACAAACCACTTTTGAATATAAAACTGCTATAAAAAGTACTACTTAATTTTAATGACTGTTACATTTGTTATCTGTAATCTGAATCTGGAAACCATTGGCGAATTTCACTAATTGCATTAGCAACGAATTTTCACAAATGCGCTGTCGAACACTTTGTTTCTCTTTCCTTGTGACTGTCTGTTAAGCTGAATTAAAGTGGACGCTCGTTGCTCGTGTTTAAAAAGGACGACTCGGCAAAGTACACCTGTGTACACGACGCACGGTGTTATCGGTTTGGAGGTCCCGCGAACAATTTGTTTGAATGTATATACGTTTTAATGTTATTCTGATAATCATCGTTCTGTTTCTGTGTATAATTATCTTATCAGACATACAGCTTATGCGATATTTTGTTAAAGCGTAACATATATTATAACACAAATAAAGCAATATTTCAAAGTCATTTTATTCTTAAAAAAAGTAATAAAATTATACTTTAGCTTCTGATAACATATTTAATTCGTTAGTAGGTCTTCGCGGGACCTCAAAGAAACCAGTACCGCGCGCGTTTGCCCGGGGATGAATCTTCATATCTGGTGTGTGGTGGTGACTAACATGTCCGTGTGTTTGTTTGTGTGCCAGCAGGTGGCCTGTGACGTTGTGACCGTATACTCTCGATCGGAGTCGCCGTGCCATGTCAGTCTCAGTCAGTCAAATCAGTATCGGTCGTTCGCTCGACCGGTCGATCGATCAGTCACGATTCCCCGGTCAGTCTCTCGATCAGTCTATCTGTGTCTGTCGGTGCCTGTACAAAGAACAACACCCGCCCACGCGCTCTCACTTCTGCCGTGAGATCCTCCGCCTTGTTGACCTCTTCTCTATCTCTTCATTTCATCTCCTCAACCTCTTTTGCGTCCGTACCGTCTATCCATGAAGTCGCGACATCGTTCATACTTCGCGATCGCACCGAGCGGTTGCTCGTCTTCCCGATCGCAGCTGCGCATGTAAAACACTGGACGAATCCTTGGACACGCAGAAGAATTCACGGTGCTGGGCAAACGAAAGTTGTGGCACATGAAATGGAGGAGCGCGATGAAAAAGGCTGAGAAAGTGGAACAAAAAGGAGAACGATACACCGACGACCGACCTGGGTTCCTCGAACGAAGCTAATGCGCTATGTTAACTGTCTGTCCAATCTCCCCTCCCTCTTATGTATATACAGATATATAAATATATCATGCATATATGTACATACACATATATATGTACGTGTATATGGTATGTGTGTGTGTTTGAGAGCACAATGAGAATTCTTGTAGTTAATTAACGGTAGTTGACGCTCTACGTTTCACAGTGAAAGAAGACAAAAAGACAAGCGAGGAACGTGTGGCGAATGAGCTGTGCGAGAAATTTTTCTTATACATAACTATACATAGTTATACATACATGTTCATAAATCGAATTATCGACTGAGAACTATTTTTATCGGCTCTACTATCGGGATCGCTGTCAACGCCTCGCAGCGCCTGTTTATACATAAATATGCATATGCATATGTGCGTATGTATCGCGGCAAATTGAGCGTGTAAACGAAATAAATGTATGTATGAAGAAGTACGGTAAACGGAGACGGAAAGGGAAACGCGAAAGGACGAACAATGATCGTGCGGGACCGACGCGCATGCGATTTCTTAGGTTTAAATCGTGCAAATATACCAAAAACGAAACTGATACAAAGAATTAAACAAAAAAAAAAAACCGATAGATAGCGAAGAAACAAATATAAGAGACATTTTGTAGTAATGACTTTGTGATAAGATTGTATCGTATAGAGGACCGTGGTCTCAAACTGAAACTGGGCCGGATCGCTCAGGAATAAACACATCAGGCGTCACACATTTGTGCATTCAATTCTATATCGTTATCAAGACTTCACGAATATAGTCAAGTGCAGAAGATGCGACAAACTTTTAATGAATTTTAATATCGGACGAGTTTCCTGACCATACTTACATCATCTTCTTCGTCGAAATAATAAATTGCACTTTGTGCGATTAATTTTAGGAAAAATTAGATACGAAACCGATCAGACGGGTTGTCTGTATGATTCAACGAACTAAAAGTCTCTTATCAAGTGATATCTGAATATGAAAGGACAAAATGAATTACTATAATAATTGCGAAACAATTTCGCAATCAGAAGGAAGAGACGCACTCGAATAAGTGCATCATGCAAAATATTTTAAGATAATTCATTCTTGACATTGAATATGAATTTGCTTCTTGGAAGTAAACAGAAATACATTTTGATTTTTTGAAAGTTCTATCGATTATAAACCGATTTATTAATTTTTATTAAATTTTTGTTAATATTAATAAACAAACGATTTTACGAAAATTTATTTTTGCATTGTTTCTAAAACGATTGATGATTATAATACTTATTATTACTTATCGAGAGAAGATAAACGTATATTTATGTTGCAATTAATGCAATTGACTTCGATTAAAATATAGATTTATATACAGCTTGTTTTTATGTGCAAATAAAATATAAATTTAGAATGGAATATTTCCAACGTGATAAACCAAATGTAACTATTATATTTTTAGTTAGGCGAACATCACGAAAATTGGTTTCATGACGGAACTATACAATGAATTAAATCAAGATGCAAGGATATATACGGGGGGTTAATGATTATAAAAAAAATTAATTTAACTGGGATTAAATATGTCTTCGTGGATATTAATTTAACATAGAAATTTTAGATATTTAAAAATTAATCGCGTGTAATTGGATTGCATCATACAGTAGAAATCAATATTTTTGTAAAATCTGAAAATTTTTTTTCTCATATTATATTATATACATATATAATTCATATTCTTTAGAAGATTTTGTTTGTTTATTTGAATCTTATGATGAAATATATAAATAAACAAAATTTGTATTCACAAACTGCATTCAATTAGCATTTTGATTATTTAAAACAGTTTTTTCATTAATTTTGAATAATATTAAATTATAAAAAATTTCTTTAAATCTAGAGTGAATTCTGATCAATCCTAATTAATATTCAGAGATATATAGATGTTTATAAAATGTTTAATTAAAATATTTAATTATTTTATAAGAAACATTTGAAATAAGAAAGAGAAAGGAATTTAGAAACTACTTGAAACATCTATAAAACATCTTTATCTTTCAGACTTTTAAGTTTTTGTCTTTTTAGATGTCTGTTAAACTTTTACTTTTTACGAATTAAATGTGCGAGTATTAAAAATATTTTTATTTCAATGTATTTTCTATTTTTCACGATTTCAATACTAAAAAATCGTTTTTTTTTTTTTAGAATCTTCCCGCTATATTATCCAAGCGACCCGCCATGTTATCTACAATTTTATACAACTTCCTCTTACTATTGTCACCTTTTATAGTTGCAATCCACACTTTCACTTTAACAAAATACAAACCCTTGATTTGTTTTTTTCTCGCATAGTTTTGTCTATATTGAGCAAAACAAGTTTACGTGCACTAAATTATTAAATGTAACTGTTTTTATCTGTTGAAAATAATGGTTGTATAGTGCATTACATTTGTTTAATATTTTATAGTTAGAATAATGAGTGTCATCGCATAGCTCACTTATCATTTATATTATATGTGCATATGTGTATACAATATACGTATATACATATATGTTTGAGATGGATTTACTATTTTTCGAAATGTACTTAAAAATGGAATGATTTCTGTTATTCCGCATTACTATTACTTGTCATTTAGGATTAAGTGTACATAATCTTGTTTTGTCATCAACAACATTAATATGCACACATACGTCAGACCAAATAAACAGAGCATTGGCGTCATTGCAGGTAAAACGGTATGCAAATGACAATTTTATTTAACATTTGCGATTGTTTTTGAATAGTGGACAACGTCATGCTCCGTACAGATTACCAAAGATGTGTCTTTAATTAATTGATGTACTTACACAATGCTAATGACTAATCCAAGCTAGTGTTGCATGTCTACGCTTGAATTAAGAACTATTTACGTTTAGAATATCTGTATTATTGCCTTGTATGTGATGAATGATAAATTTAAGTTATTAAGTTTATCATTAAATTATATGTATTTAAAGGACATAAAAGTCGAAAACATTTAATCATTTTATTGATATATATATATATATATATATAACTACTGATGCAAAAAAATCGATGTGAATAAGATTTCATGGATTGTAAAGTGTTTATAAGCGTCGCTCAGACGCGTTCTCTATGGATAAGATTCTCCAGAATCTTATCCATATTAATTTTTTTGCGTCGATGGTTTTGCATTTTGGTTTTGAAGCTTAAATTAAACGGATCTGATACATATGATATAAAAATACTAAAAATAAAATATTAATTTTGTTATCTTTTAAATCGATTTAAGTATAAATTTTAACAAATATTTTGAAACTATAAATCATAAAATCCAAACTATTCAAAAATAGTATACCATATAGATCAGTCGACAACTGCCACATACAGTACACTTCATCCGAGGGATGTCCTAGAGACGTTCTTACGGTATATAGAGCATCTTCTGAACGTCTTTAGAATATCCCTCAGATATCTGTGCTGCACAAATATTTTAAAATTATAAAATATTATAAATTTTTAAAAAGAAGAATAGTTTGATACTTAACATTTAAACTATAGCGTAGACAGTTAACACTAATGATAATCGATTAACTAACAATAGGAAATGAGCACGCGTACACATTAGTCTTGTGCGTATATACAAATAGAGCCTAGTCACAAGTATCGTTTAATGATTGAAAGATGCTTTTATGTTCGTACCATTTTCATCATTGTTCTTCAGCACATGTGCGTTGACACTGTTATTAGTACTACGTTTATTATGGCTATTATTATTGCTATGTTATCTTTACTAGTTATATCTGTTATTCTAATTTGATTATTATTATAAGAATTCTTATTATTGCTATTATTATATTATTACTGTATGGTCATTATTATTTTATTACTAGTATTATATATGTTTATGTTATTAGTACTCCTGCCAATGACGGCGATATTACCATTGGCATTTATTATTATTATTATTATTATTATAACTTACTTCTATTACTTTTATATATATTATTACTAGAATTTTGCGCGCGACAGCAATCGCGATTATCATCTTATTGTTGCTAATATTAATCGCTCGCAAATTTAGTGCAATAATGGCAGACTATCAGTTTAAGTCAAAATCAGAATTATTTAAATACTTTTATATGTCTGTTTTTACAGGACTATATAAAGAATTATGTACTTTAAAAACGGATCATATATCTGTGCGATTATTGAATGGTCAAATGAGGATCACTTATTTGAGACAGTTATTTCCATATATAAACAAAGTTTCTATTATAACAATACGGAATAATTTACTTATAACGAATGATTTATTTTCATGTCTTATATAGTCATTATATATATTATCTGTTATTATTCTATTTATCTAACTAAATACTAATTGGTTGGCAAAATGCAAAAATATCCGAAATATTTTTTAACATTTGTTAAAATATAGTTGCAAATGCTTGTAAATGTCAATAACAAATCTTATGAAATATTATCATTTTTTGTATAAAAGATATAATAAACACATAAAGATTTTTGTATCTTAAAAAATTCAAATAAATAGATTAACACTTTTGTATTATCTATTAATATCATTCTTTATTCTTAACTATTATGTAACAATTATTATTACTGTTATATTGTTTATTTTATGTGTGAATATTATAAACAATAAATACTTAACTAATTTCGTACCGCGTTAATAACATAAATTTTCTTTTCTCTTTCTTTCGCATACAAGCCGACCAATTTGGTGATCCTATTCGACCAACATTTCAATGATACAACAGCCTATCCGAATTAATATTATTCGATTTTTACAATTATGCGTGTAATCTACATCTGTTGGTAGAATATGTTTTTGTTTTTAAATGTTTGAGTTATTACTTCGTAAGATTAATGTTGTACTGTTGAGTATACGGTATTTGCATCGTTAACATCTGTCATGCTTCTTTACTTTTGTTTTCTTATATGCTATAAATTAAATTTTTGTTCTTTTTTTTTAATTTGTTCGTCCACCGCGTTTCTCCATTTAATGCAAAGTATATGTCTTTTATATTAAAAGATGGGAATGTGTCGCTATCAGAGCTGTCGAGATGAATCATGTCAAATCGAATGCATAAACCT